ATGAATCATGCTCACATTCACGTCTGGGCATCTTGACTTAATTCGCTTCCTTACTCGACCGACAGGGGTCAATTAACTCCGGGTTCATTCATTCGTATCTATGACGCACACTCAATCGACGATCACGAACTTGACGTTCCCGGGTGGAACGTATGTGTGCGACGGGGGGGGGGGGGGGGGGTGGGGGGAGAACGGCGCACCTTACNAATAACACTGACCATAAAGGTGCCTTCGACTGAGTTTATCGCCACCAGAAGTACGCTGACTTACTGAGGTCGTCGTACTCACCTCAGGTCGAGTGAGGGACTACTACCAACAGCGGCGGGGCTCGGGGGGAGAACGGCGCACCTTACACCACCGAAACATTCATCCTCGCTCGGTAACTCACTCAAAAAGTACTTATGTTTGTTTACCGAGAAATTAGTTCATTCGGTATGGACCCCCTCCAGTTTAGACAGACCCGGTCCAATCGGTGACATTTGATGACCAAAACACCAATCATCTTGTCGGGGTTTCCAGTGGAGTGCGATTGGTTGGATTCACTTGAAGTTACAACGGATTCGCTTGAAGTTATGGTGGATTCACCTGAAGTTGAAAAGGTCCTCTTGATCATATAAGAATGAGTTGCTTAAGCGTTGGTAATTGATTGCGGTCACCAGAACGCTCATGCGTGATGTTGTCCACTTTGAGCATACAGTTTTGACTGTTGCTAGTATTTTAATTCGAACAACTTTGGATTTGTGTTGTGGAACTTCGTAAATAATGGTGAAAGCCAAATCATTATGCATCCTATGCTCAGCCTGGAACATGGAATTTGAGACAGTCCGTTTCCTCCGTACCTAAACAATACGGGTTGATGTTCCTTGATGCGTTCAGGCAGCTGCGTTTTCGTACGATCTTCATAAGTGGCATCACAGGTGGTGGTAGTAAGTTCCATCTATGATGAGCGTTGATCGTAGAAGATTTCGCTATCCATGCATTGAGGCTCCTCCTTGTTAGGAGTCGTGCTTAGTTATACTCGCTGCTGGTCGGGATTGCTCGGCATGTGTCGAGAAAATACTCAGTATCAAGACACCACGCGTTAGATTACAACTAACTAGGCCAACAGAATGCTCAGCATTCCTGATATGCGGCCAGTGCTGACTGTTTCGTGCGTTTGAAAAGCCAATTGAAGACTAAATGCATCTTGGGCCAAAACAATTGTGGATAGATTAGAGGGCTAACTCCAGTACGATCGATATTTTTGTGTGCAACTCGGAGATGTGGTCGAATTGCTTTTGTCGCTGACTCGGAGCGAGCGGACGCCAAGTGGTTGGCAGCTGGGTCTTCTAAAGTTCGTACTGGGGAGGAATAGGTGATTATCATGACTTAGTGTCAACAGTCGTTCACTGCATTCTGAGCTACGTAATCTGGTCTGAAATAAACTCCCAGATGCACCTCACTTGAAGACAGATAACCAAGTCCACATCTCCCGCTAAAATCACAAAATCGGCCAGGCAAGCTTCACGCAACGGGTTGTGTAGTTTTTGGTAAGATATATTTAACTTCATCCGGTCTGCAGTTTCGTCTATCGGGCGATAGCCGCTTACCTTTCTCGGAATTGTCAGTTTCACTGAGCACAACTTACTGTCGATGGGGATGCAATCTAACAACGCGGCTTCATCTTTTCCAGTGGCAGCCGTGCTAACGCCAGACAGAAGCCTCAGCCTCAGGGTCTCTAGAATGGCTTGAATGAAACTTCGCAGATTGATTTAATGTGGACATTAGTGGAGTACGGAGCTGAATTCTTGAATGTGAGTATCTTGGATACAACGCACATCGATCGCTAGGGTCTCAAGCACATACGCTAAACAAACTTACTGTCCTATTTGCAGCAAATACCAGCGCTTCATTTACGCCCTCTGAAAGGGCATCAATTGGTAGAGGTGGATTCGTTGAAACTTGGACGCTAGGAGAGAATGAAAGAGGCAATATATCCATATCCATAATAATTATTATTATAATTGTTGGTAATGTCGTCCAAATGGGCAGCTAAAAGACAGCAGCCAAAAACGGCGCACGATAGTGCATGGCTAATGGTTATTCAAACTGAACTGAACTGAACTGAGTACTGTCGTCAGCGACGTCTCAGATGAGCCGGTGGAAATGTTTTCCCGTGATTCACCTCTTCTAAAGGACGTTGTTAAACAATGGGTCTCGAAAATTGACCATGGCCATATTTAGTTGCGGGCCACACTCTCCACGTCACGGCACTGTTTGTGTGGTGTCTTGTGAGGAATACCGCTGACTGTCACTGACTACTTACTCGGTTGGCGTAAACCCACCTTATTCACATTAGCCACGTCAGTCGTTGAAGGTTATCTAATCTGGTCTTGATTACGAGTTTTAAGATCACTACAATTCCTTAAGTAATCTCTACTTTTCCCTGAAATTTTCTGTAGCAAACTCGAAGAGAAACGAAGAGATACGGTAACCCTGTCGTATGCACCTTTGGACGGAATACACGATGAAATTTCACTGAACTATATGTTGTCTTTTCTTCGCAGTGGCGGAATATTTACATCGTGGAATATCAAGGCCAAATTAGCTGAACCTAACATGGTCTTATTTATAATTTATTGAAGTGTATTATCTTGAGAAAGGTGAAAGCAAATTTCACGGCACCCCATACATTATCAAGGACGAAATCTTCTAGTTGTTTCAATTGGTTAGGCAAATACAACTGAAGTGAGAATTTCTTGACCACCAATTTGTGACAATTTTCACCAGTTAAACCTGTCTGCTTTATATGAAATTCCAGCTTAGTTCTCTTATGTTTAATTTCTCTATCCTCTCAAATTCACCTATTGTTGTTTCTTGCCATTTTCTCTCCAACTTCGAGTCCAGTACCAGGAATATGAGAATGTTGTTTTGGCCGATCGTATTGCAAAGGAGAAGGCCAGACAACAAGAAGAGCAAATTGAAATGGAAGAAATCGCTTCACAAAAGGTAAAATTGTTAGTTTTCTCATAGACTACGAGGGTTTTATAAAGGGGTTGGTGTCTGAGTGTTAAATGGAATGCAGTCCTGAGACAAAACAACAGATTTGAATGGCTCTGGTTATTATCAGAAAGAGTAACTGAAAAATTCTCGGTGCTTATTCATGGTTTGTAGGCTGATACATCTATACTCGAATGACACTCTCTGATGCACTTTATCAGTCACTGATCAATTACGCCAAACACTGAAATGCATCTCACCAAAGTAGAGAACAAATGAATTCCACGGAATGAAATTCACAGGAACACTACATTAGGACAATGTAAGGTTCCTAGAGTTTATGGAAATATCAATGGACCCATCCAAACTCAGCATTCCAATATATAGATTATTCTTAAAGTTGCTATTATTTTAATTTTACAATCAGCCTTTGCGTTGGTTTCTGCTGTTTGGTCACGATTAAATGAATAAACGGAAAAGTAAAACTGCGCTCAAAATCCGCAGGAGTAGGTGGAGAATGCATGAAGGCGCACTCGTAATACATGGTTATATAAAAAATGTTTTAGGGTGGAAGAATAAATTATTCGGACTCTAGTTAGATACTTGAATCAAACCCGATTGCCTCAGATAATGGGTCCTCGATGGAATGTCCTTGGTTTATACTCAGAAAGTTTGCTTTACAATAGCTGACCTTGAAATGGCATGACCCTATTAGAATTATTGTATAAAAAGTGAAAAATTGAAACGATGAACCTGAATTCCGATTACGTATTTTAAATTAGAATATTGGAAAGTGAAATCAATAATTTCTTTTGTTTTGTTTTCTCACAATACTTAAACAATTATCTGGTCTTCGCTTTGTTCATGCACGGTTGTTTCTATGAATTTTTATAGCCCTAGATTTAGTTCAGTTTTCCAGTTAATACAATCATTGATGTAGAACATCTGAGCACAGGCTACCAATTTAGTCGATCCTTTAAGAATGCGTAGTACAATTTAAGATTTCAGTCAGCATCTGGAACTTGCAATGCAGTAGATAGGGAAACTGAAGTAAAAGCCAACTGGACTGTTAGCTATCGAAACATTTATCTTTCATGTAGTTTTCACTTTGTTGCTTTAAAAAAGAGCCCCTCAGTTTAATGAAGTGATCTCGGAGCTAAAAGAGAATTTATCTATACCATGTACATATATATATATCAGATGATCGCATCTCGATCAACGTGAAATTGTTGGCAGTCACGTAATTGAAGATTCAAAACAGTGAGTTAAATACAAAACTTTACAAACAGGGGAAGCTGCTGGTCTATTCTTGTTACCTATTCAGGATAAGTTTGTTCAGATTGGTAGATCAATGAATGGATAAGGTCCGTTAATCCTTGGAGATGTTAGGTAGTTATTGATTTGGCGAACTACATGAAAGGTAAGCCGCTTCATAAAGTTTAGGAAAAGGGGGATTAGGAGATAAATTGAAAGCAAGAGGGATGGGGAAGTATACTACAAATGAAGTGGAATGCACACAGATATTATTGGCTTTATCTGATGTTTTTTAAATTAAGCGCATATAGTTCACAGATATATCCTGATGAGAAACATATACTTTACTGAATCGTGGGTCCTTCGGAATGAGAAGTGAAGTCTGACGATNGATTAGATGACTTACTCCAAAGTTTGTGTTGCATGCCAATGGCTAACATGAAAGATATCGCTATGTATTCTCCATCAGAATGCTTTGTAATTAGGAAAATAAAAAGAACAAATATAAAGAAAAGGAAAAAATAAAACGTTGCAGAATCCCCAATAGAAGGGTTGATGGAATAGAGGTGTGAAATGTGTCTGATATAGCCAATAAACAACCCATTGCAGGTTCATGCGGAAATATAGTACAAGGTGAATAACAACGGAGGAATCACCTGTATTTGCAAGAAAGGATCAAAGCCTGTCTCACTCAAAACAGATAAAAGTGTATATATAATAATTGCAATTGAACTTCATGGTAAGAAAGGTGGGAAACAAATGAAAGTCTAGTGTGTCGATAAGAAAACTGAATGGGGGTTTGTTTTGCGAAACGGACGTATGATGAAGAACAAAGGTTGGGAATAATTTCACGGTTTACTGAGCCTACGAAAATGTGAGTTAAACATTTTGGATCTGGAACTTGTCAACAATGTGAAATATTCTTTTTAGCTCAACATCACTTGAATAAATACAAATGCAGAAAAGTTAGTATAACAACAGTTAACTTGAACATCACGGGTCGCAAACCATCCAGTTCGTCAAATCTGTTGGTTCTCAATAACCACGGTCATTGAAGACATCCGTTTGAGAGATAAAAAAATGTATAGGGGAAGCCAGAAGAAATGTTTACAAGCACATATTTTTTGTTATATCACAGAGTGAATTTATATTACCACCACCATTATCAAATAATATAAAAAAGTTGGATATACCAGATTTATATTTAATTAAAAGAAACTATAAAAACATTGAGTAGCACAATTTAACATTGTTTTACCCGTTCACTCTCTCTGATCTCGTCCAGATTCAAAACTGGTGGCGCTGTGTACTTGTTCGAAAGGAAATCGGTCCGTACGATAGAAAGAAGAAACAGAAGAAGCGAGGAAAGGGTGGTAAAAAGGGAAAGAAATGATCACCATGTACAAACACAGAGAAATGTTGATCAGCACGATTGTTTATTATCAGTAAACGATCTGATTTCAATGGTTCCTCACTGTGTTATGTGGTTCATACTGTCAAGATTCAAGATATTCTGCTAAAGATTGGTAAAGCAAACGTTCTGTAGTGCACTTATTCTTTGTCCGGTTTTAATTTGGAGAAGCGGGAGAGAGTGGGATTTTATTTATTTAATTATCACTACAGGAGTTGAAATTGATCGATATTGTAGCTGATAAGGAAAAACAGACCACCAAGTTACACCTTTTTCCTTTGTAAGATTCGTTTGTGAAGATATCACAAAGTACTCGTCGGTCATTTATTTTTATCTATTTTTATCCTGGGGAATTCCATGTGAGCAAACCAAGGGCGTACGGTAATTGTGGATAGATCAGCGCAAATGCATGTACGCTTAAACATTTTTTGCAATCAGTAAACGCATACTACGTCTACTTAGTTGATCATCAGTAGCGAAAAATGTGTTATGGTTGCGATTTATGCGTCAATTTGCATAAATTAGCCTTTGGGGTTGATTTAATGGGGACACCACCTTTGTGAGGCCGCATCTCGTCCATCTTGCGATGGACGAGATGAAAGGGAATCAGAGGCTTGGAAATCTACGAAACAAGTTCGATTCGTTTCGGTTTGAGCGAATGTGTTATTCTATCATTTTACATCACATAGATAAACTTAAAACGATCCAGGCAAAAACATTAAATTTTTTTTTATAATGACATACACACAAAATTATTTGCTAAAATTTATTTCAAATATAAACAGAAGAACAATGATTTCTATGATTAAGAGGTAAATAACTTAGCTAAACAGTAAATTTGGTCTTCAAGTAGGACTACATAAGGCAAAAACTATAGTTTTCCAAAAAGATGCTTAGCAATCAGACATTTTTCGCTCGGTAAATTTATCTTAAAAACGAATGTCTTTCGATGAAAATTTAAACATCTACCGTGTCTTTTCGATTGACTAGCTGGTGTAGATTAAGACGTTTTCACTAATGCTCCTGCTTCAGCACTAACTTCGACAGAGAAAAATATGTGCAATTGTTAGACCTATTTTCCTGAAGTTTTCAAGGGGAATACTTTGAGATGCGTTCGGCTCCCTATCTGGAGTTTTGAAACTCGCGTCCTAATAGGGACCGAAAGATAGATGTAATGGTGATGATTCCTGTCATGCACAAAACAGCTGTCTATTACCCTTTGTTGATCTTCTCTTGACCTGGCTGTTAAATTATACACTAAGTAATGAGACCTAATCATTTTTATTGTTTCATCTGGAGATAAACCACTGACAGTACCAATCAAGGTGTGTGCGATAATCCCATACTTCCGAGGACAACTGGTTGACTCGTGATAATTGCCATCCGAAGACATGGAACTTAGATACGCAGACCAAATGAAACTCCACTAGGATAAGCATTGCCTTTAGCTAGATATTAATAGGGTAACGTTGACAGGGTTCAAATCTTGAATCATAAGACCTAAAGCGCCTTAGTGAAAGCGATTCAATCTGCTCGATCATCAAACCCTTATTTTGATCACTCCACTCCTCAACAAATAATCCTGGATACCAATTTCATCGTCGTTTTCTATTGACAAATGTAGGCTATATCTGTCAGGAGGGAGTGAAAGTGAGAGCTTCCGGTCAAGCAAACGTTGTCATCATTTTCGTTCGCTAACTTTTCTGTTGTCTTGTAAAGTCTAGACAGACAAGAATAAAGGCGAGAGGAGGGTGAACTGACTGTGAACGCATATTTGAAACTCTGTTTTCAGTTTGCATGCGGATTTCAATCACAAAGACAGCATCACACACGGACAGGAATGTGTTGTCCTCTCTATATTGGCTTCTCCAAATACACTTACAGTTTTAAAACTGGGTGGCACTTTTCAGCAAATACCACGCATCTCAACTTGTCTTTCACGCAAAATTTTCACGATAATTGTGTTTGCGAGGTTTTTACTGGAATGGTTTGGAAAAGTGTGCCAGTCCGAACCCCGGCACCCCTGTTTGTTCAAATCAAATCACAAAAGTGGGGAACGGAAGCAGGTTGACTAGCGCGTTTGATGTTGAACCGCGATCATATCATCCACAAAGTACTAAGTTGCAACTTGCTTGACAGAAGTGGTTTTTTGATACTTGGTTGAGGGAATATTAAGCTCGATAGCACCACCTATGCAAAACGTTCAGCAATTACACTATTTCTTAGTTGCACTTGTAATGAATGGAACAGAACTGTCCTAATCATGGGATTGTATTCTGTCCTAAATGGATTTAACCAATAAATATAAATCATCCACTAGAAATCAAACGTTAAATCGGACACAGAATAACTCAATACTGGTATTATTGGTGCAGAGAAATTCATCAGAGGTGCAAAACTCGGTAAAGTTAGACTGTGCTTGACTGAAGCGATAAATCTGACGCAGGGAAGCGTTAAAGAAGTAGAGTGAACAAAGATTATAGTTGAAATCTCCCTAGACTATTTTGCGAAGATACAGATATGTGTGGATAAATTAACACAATGAGTATTTTATTATAGTTCGTCGCACACATTGAAGCTAACTTCCACAGTGCGCTTAACTACAATTGCAACGCCAATCAGATGAAAGCAATCCAATTACACAAGTGGGCAATATTTAATTGTACTGACAACCAGCAATCCTTCCCATTTTTCCATTACGGGGAGGGCGTCAGGTTGCTCTATACACTTTCCATTTCCTGCTCTGCAAATCAAATCCCAGTCCTCAAAAATTGAACAAAAGCATTTAAGCAGTGAACTAACCACGGAATTCAGACAAATCCCCGCGTTGCTAGGAGAGGTACAGCTACAAAACAGACGAGTAAAAGCAATGGGCTAAGTCATGAGGATCTTGGAGGTCTCTGACCCATTGGAGACTGAGAGCCAACTTGATAAAAACCTTGATAACCAAGATTCTGTGAAGTCTGAAAGTGGAAGATTTGTTTGCATTCAGTCAAGGAGCAAGAGAGTCTTAGGGTTTAAAGAAGCCAATAGGGGCTAAGTATGCGGGCTTACTATTTTACTAACGTGATAGTATCTTGGTGAAACAGACTAACAAAAGCCCTGGTACACTCTACTAATATCAACTCATTTAAGAACGTACTATTTGACTGCTGTTCAGTAGTGTTATCAAAAAATAGATTTATAGTATATGAGTTTCATCAATTTCGTCTCTTTGAATTATGCTACGCTCAAACACGTACTAACAGAACACTTCCGTCAATCTGAGCCTCTCAATGAGAGGTACGAAGACAATATTGAACTTCCTTGCTCTCGGCTTCTCGTGTGAAATCATCTATGACTAGAAATTGGATTTGATTAGAAGAGTCAAAAATAAAGCTTTGCTGGCGCCGACAACACGACAAACTGAAAGCGTGGATGGTAAAAGCCAAAACGCGTCTTGCGGAGAGTAAACTGAATTGGTCTGAAATATGTCGAGGTGCACAGATTATAGATAATACAAACAGCTTTAAAAATAATAATTTACAAACATATTCATAAAGAAAGAAGGTGCAATTTACTCTGGAACCTTAATTATTCCTCAACATGAATCGTAGTTTTTTTCCGGAAAAATTGGGCTTTTAACTTGGCCGAATAATCTATTTACGATATTTACGATTCCACTGGGGAATATCTTATTTTAGGTGGAGGTAAATGTGTTGTCATTCTTATGTGGGCACAACAAGAAGAATAGATTTTTCAGAACCACACAAAATTATCAATTACGAGTTCCAGCTCACCCCGTCTTTAAACTCCTAAAATTTATCCGTAATCACCGTAGAGCGTGCAAACGATGGACTGTAAAATAGCCCAAACACGGATATTTCTCACCATCAACCAAGTCCGGGCTCTTAGAAGGACGCAGGTGGTAACGCCAAAAAACAATTAGGTTCCAGGTGATACAGTTAATCGCTTACCAGTCACTTTGGGTTGCTAAACCTTCACCGTCATCCCACGAATAGCCAAGCATACTTAGATATGTATCATACACAATTGGTACATGCAGTGGAGTGCAAATCATTCAAGCAAAAACTGATCTTTTTGACATGTACTGAAAGAACGCAGAGGATGTGTATAGACAGACGGGGCGGAGATAGATAAGCATCTGGTTATCAGGACGAATGACGAGACATGCAACCATCAGGATTGGAGAAGTTGTCATCCGGCTCCCTATGGGAGGTGGAAGGTGGATGTGACGGGGGCAGGTGTAAAACAGAGATAGCTTATCCTCGTCTAATCAGCTAGCAACCGGCTGGAAAATGTCGTGAAGAGGTACGGATTGAACAACGAAGCGGTTTTGTGTTGATATTCAACAAGTGGGGTTCGCATGTAGTATCAGTAATTGGCTCTGTGGTAAAGAGAAACGCACACAATTGATGCCCAGTGTTAGATGCGCCAGACAAAACACCGGCTTTCGTGCGCATCATCCCGGTTCAAATGGCGAACCTGTCTAACAAAGGAAAAATTGAAATATGAATTCGCTGAAGACTTTCACTGCAATATTCGCACAAAAACGAGATAGCTAACAAGCTCCTTTTCGATATCTTCCTCTTCTGGCTAATAAATATATAATTAGCTAATAGGCATATCATATTAACTTAAGGTTTGATGTATGTGCGGATTTGATTGATAGATATAACTAGTTGTTNCGTGGTTTACAAACAAAAAATGAGTGTTGAGTTGATGAGAATAGGGCTGAGGTACATGAGGGTTAGGACCGAGCCAAGGTTAACCATCAACTTTTTGGATCTCGAGGTCAACTGAAAGGGGGTCATTGGGTATTCGAACGGTACATTCATAAAAACCTTTCCGAGACACAGAAGAGACCTCTAGTGATAACAGTGAATAATAAGACTTATACATGTGACTTCTTTTCAAAGTGGATTACAAAAGTGAACTAATCACCCAGCTTTTGGAAAGATCAATCACAGGCACATTTCGGGGGACGCGTTTACATCTCAAGTTCACCAGTGAGCCGACTATTTCCGTGAATCCCAAAGTTAAATTGCCTATTTCTATCTTTTGTATGGTTACCTGCTCAGCTATTTGCTTATGTTCGGCAAGCTAAAT